TATTATATATATTTACTTATAATAATTAAATATTTTTTTATTAGTTTTATTATACTAACTAATATTTTATAGCCTATTATACTTATACTACCTAGCAGCTTTATATAGCTAGCCTAACTTATAGCTTATATGCTAGGTCGTAATAAGTTAAGGGAAAAAGAAGCGGCAAGTAGGTTAATCTCCACCCTTTTTTGCCTGTAAATAATAAAGTGCTTAATAGGCTAAGTATATCTAAAAGTAGTTAAGAAAAGCTATAAACTAATTAGTAATATTAGTAATATTTATTATAATAAAAAAAGCAGGATTCTAGGCGTTAAATAATTATAGCTAATTTAAATTCTAGGCTATAATTACTAAGCCCTAGTACTTAGTAAATTTAATACAGGCTTTTTTTATTTTTTTATTAAAAGGTAAGGTAATTAGAATTTTAAAAAAAAGCATAAAAGTAGCTAGAACTTTATACCTATTACTTAAATTAGTTCTAGGAGTTTATAAAGCTAAATAATAAGTATAAAATATATTTTATAAAGGTTTATAAATAAATTATTAAGTAGTAAATAATAATATATAAGTTCTTTTAAATTCTATTTTAAATAAAAGTTTATTATATATAATTATTAGTTATTATTAGGTTTATAAAACCAGGAAAGTACTAATATAAGTTTTACTATTATATATTAGCTATATTAAAAGTTATAAAAACTAGTAATATACTAAGTAAAAAAAAGTAAGCTAAAGCTTATAAAGAATTACTTTTATTATTCTAGAATAATTATGTACTAGTTAGGTATAAACCCTAATATATAATATATAATATAAGGCCCTTATTTATTATTAGGGCTTTTATAAGCTTATTATAACTTAAGTTTTTTAGACTAAATACTTTTAAAATATAAAAGTAAGTAAAGCTATTTACCTTTTAATATATTAGAATATTAACAACTAAAAACTAATAATATAAGTACTAGCTAAACTTCTTATTATAAAAATATATTAGATATTAAGCGTAATTACTAAGATTTACTTTACGTAGTTAAGGGGTATTAAAATTAGTATAACTAATTAAATATAATATAAGGAAAGCTATTATAAAGATATAATTTTTTTTAAATACTTTATTAATTAAAGTTTTATAAATTAATAGCGCTAAGAAATAAGAAGGTAAAGGCTTTTAGCTAGTAATATTTTATATAATTATATCTATTTTTATTATAATAATATTTAGATTTAAAACTATAAATTAAAAGTTTAAAAGCAAAGGCTTATTTAATATAAGTTAGCCCTAGCTTTTTTTAGCTAGATTATAGTTAAAAATAAATATAAAAAAGAAGAATATATTATTATTAACTAAGAAAGTATAGATTTTATCCTAAAATATTATAATATATTAATAATTAAGGTAATATTCTTTTAAGAACTATAACTAAGTAATTATACGCTTTTTTTAAATATAAAAATCTAATTAGAACTAATATTAATATTATAAGTTATTTTATATTACTTAATTTAAGGGCTATAAAACTATAATATTTAGTTCTAATAATAAATTAGGAAATGTTACGACCCAGCACGTAGGCTGCAGGTTGGGCCGGCTGCATAGAGCCGCCGGGCGGCACAGGTATAACAGGCCACAGAATATTGGTCAGTATAATAAGACTAATGTAACGGCTAAGGTTCCCAAGGGATAAACTAGTCGTAGTTTATGTTGGCAGAGCCACT